CCAGTCTCCTGGCTGGCCGTACGCGTCGTCATGGTAATGTTTATAGCCGCCTTTTGTTACATGCCCGGCTAGGTAGCGACTTAGCTACCATCAATACAATAAGTTGATAATACACAATGCATAATAAGGTTACATGATTTACTACTGGTGTGGGCCTCAACCATATGACCACACACCGTACAGAGCTACTGGTACCGTAACCGTATCCCCGCGCGAGCACGCGTAGTTTATAAATATTAATATTACCGGATACACGCGTTTAAGGCATAAGGCCCTAAAATGTGCGCATGGGCAATGTCGGTCAGCCTTCCTCCTCCTGGCCATCAGGGGAGGCGGGTGACTGAGCCATAGCGGCCCGGGCAGCCATGTCCACCATAGCCATGGCGGTCATCTGGCGGATATGCATTGCGTTGAAGGTGGTGTCGGGGCCATCCGCTGCGCTGACCTCGAATTCGTAGCGCAGGGGGTCGTCAGCGGTGTTCGCCCCGACGAAGGAGCCGACGTACTCCGCGTTGAACTCCGGGTGCGGTGTCCGGGTGGGGTTACCCGGAGTGTGCTCGGGGTGATCTCCTTCCAGCTCGAGGTCAAACTGGAGGTTGCTGTCGATGACGAAGGGGGCGGGATTGATGGCGTGCATCATGCCAGCATCCCAAGAATGGTCGGGCACCGAGCCGCGGGTGCGGTCTGGCGCCGCGTCTGGCTGCGGCGGCGGTACTGCGCCAACGAATACGACGTGCGGCTGGGTGGGGGTTTCGTGTTGTTGGCGCCATGCGACGCAGGCGACGCAGCCACAGACGGTGGCGGCGCAGGCGGCGCAGGCGCAGATGGGGATGACGCAGTCACGGTTGTTGAAGGTAGCGTTGGCGTAGGCCGCACCGACGATGCAGGTGGCGCACTCGCAGGCGGCCGCAGCACGGGTGTAGGCGACAGCGACCGCTGAGCAGACGGCGCAGGCGCGGGCAGCGCCGCGGCAATCGGCGCAGTGGCAGATGGCGCCGAGACAGAGGGCGCAGGTGCAGGCGACGCCGACACCCGCTGGCGGTGGAGATTGCGGCGCGGACGGCTGCTGCCCATCCCGCCCGTCGTGACCATTGTGGACAACATGGTCCTGACAACATTAATGAACAAGCATAATACATGACACTATGTCATAAGCGGGCCAGCCGGCATAGCGGCGTGAAACGGTTAGGGAGCGCGGCTGAACATATAAGCCGCCGGAATAAGCCGTAGGCCGCTGTAAAACGGCGTCTGAGAAAAAAATAATGCAGATAGATGGAGCGCATCTTTGTAATAGTGCGCTTTGCGAATAACGTATAAACAAAGTAATACTGATCGGATCGAGCAGCAAGACTAGTGCTAGCGGTGCACACACTGCACGTCGTCGCATGCCGTAATAAACTATCCTCATGCCGGTATGATTAAAATAATAGGCTATTGATGAGGTACTCGCTCGATTGAATCACGGAAATGTAACATCGAGATGAATCTACACGACGCGAGGTGGGGTGTTTGACAGGGGACTGGTTTTGGCAAGAGCGGCGCACTGGGCGGGACCGTAGAGAGATATGCCGTGAAGTATGGGAGTCAGTGGCGAAGCCTTTGGGGATGGGGGGTCGGAAGGCGGTGTCACAGAGTATTTTGCGTAATATCGACATTAGGGGGATGCGTTACTATTGCCGAGGTGGGTGATGGGGTCCTGGCAACAAGAATAGGGCCTGGGAAACCATGCGGTGGGACTGAAGGGTAGGTGTTATCGGGTCGAAGGAACCCATTCGCTGCTGGTGGTTCGAGAATGGTTAGCAGTAGTGATGGGAATCGCTGGAATTTCATAATCGATTATCGTTTCCTTACCGATCGATAATCGATTATAATCGGATAATCGGTTAATAATAGCGCATAGATTTAATTTAATCTTACTTTGGTATATACAATTTATACATAGCATTCAATATTATCATGTTTTATTGATCAGGTATTAACTCTGTGAAGGTTGCTGTATGTATATCAATGTCTGTTCCTATACAGTATTTAATCAATTTAAAAAGAAATGGTTTAAATGCCTTTTATTAAAACATTAAAAGTTTAAACAAACATGATCAAGACTTGTTCTTTATTATAGTAAGTAAGTTATTTGTGTTCTAATAGTGTAGGCTGTGTAGCCGAGTTAATGTCATGCCAGTGGAATATCCTCTCCAACACAATGTAACAAACAATATGGAGATTAGAATCTCATCTACGGATAACATCTGTGGGACAGTGTCAAACCACAAGTGCTGCAGAGCGACAGCGCTCATCTAACGTCTACTGCGGTGACTCTGTGGTGGAGTGTGGGATTCTAGTAAACCCTGTTAGTCCCAAATGTGTTCACATACACGCCGAAACAGTGGAATGCACAGGATGGTATCAGGAACCTTCTCAAAGAATGTTCGTTGGGATCGTTATGAAAGTTGCCACGAGATGGCGCGTACGTTTAAGTGTCTTCAGATTAAAGATGGAAGCTCCCATCATACGTAATAGCAACAACTATCTGCAAGACAGAATAGGTAAGCACTCATTCCATTTACTACGCAAGCCTACAGGCTGCAATAGAGACTGCCACCTGTAACCAATTACGCAGGCAAAAACTCCACAGTACCACCAACACATGCACTGGCAGTAGCCACTGGCAGTGGGCATACGTTACATGTAACATACCGACAGTACAGAATGCCATAAAATTATACGATTTAAGGAGCATAAACCTTCTTTAACCAAATTTAGCTTTTGAAATTTCACTGTGACATTGTAGCCTCATACATCCAGGCATGTATAGATTCTGCTAGCAAACCGGCAGTCAAATTCTTTCTAACAGACAGTCAAACAATCCATGTTTAACCCTCCTCTTGAGGTCAAAAAGGTTATCAGACACTTACTCTTCGCACGTCAGTGGAAAGCAGATTTCATGGTCTTTTCAATAAAGCCATAAAATGATAGGTCACTGCTGAAACAAAAAAGTTTTTCAATCGCTCCGTCAGACCATGTCCTCAGAAAATGTCTAAAATCTGCCCTGTGCCCCATTGACCTTTGACCTGTGACCTCCAATTTCGGCACAGTGATGGCTTTTCCTACCATGATGCTATACACCGACTATCACGAGCCTAGGTCGAGTCATTTAGATTTGTGCCGCAATTCTGCATATTCCTCCCTATACCTTAAGTTAAGGAGGGAATGTTCCCCTTCTTTTACACCTTCTTATTGACCTTTGACTTGACACCAGCCTTGACATCAACTCGTTTTCGGATTACCCCCCCACGTCCCGAATATCGTGACCGTACGTCGAGCCGTTTAGATTTGTGCCCAACTGTTGACGCGACGCACGGACGGACGGATGCACGGACGCACGGACGATCATGCGATTCTACAAGCTGCATCTGACTATGTCAGATGAGCTAAAAACAAAGACACTGTCCAATTTGTCCATGTCTATAAGACTAAAGTACACTAGTACCGCTCTGCAATCAGACAGGACCTATGTTAACAGTGATTCATGAAGGTGTCCTCTGGACTACACGCTGATGCACTTCTACTTCGCTACCAATACATGTCCATGTTGCGATTTAGTAATTTTTTAATTTTTAATTTTTTTTTGTATTTCTGATAATCGATTATTTGTTTTCATAATCGATTATCGAATTTGAGACTATAATCGATCGATTTTCGATTATAATCGATTATCGGGACATCACTAGTTAGCGGCATACTAGAAAATAGCTACATTATGTCGTTTTAATGAGATAATTATGACGTTTTAATGAGATAATATGTCGTTTTAATGAGATAAAAATATTTTTCACGTGTCCCTTCCCGGGCTCCGTACATAACCGTTTGTGTAATTTGGGATAAACTGTGCATAACCTGGAGCTAGTAGTTTTTTAGCGGGTCGATTGTGAGAGGGGAAATGGACAATATATATATTTATTATCGCCCGACTCTTCCGACTTGATAAAAATTTCAATAAAAACTGTCAACAGTAAATGTAGGGTGACCTTAACTTACCGTGCTTCTGACATCTCTGTTGAATAGAAAGAGGCTGTTGATGCTCTGGACAGTACACATGCTGCGGTTCCTTGTGAACAGTAGAACAGCCATGGCCGACACAATCCTTGGCGTTACCAATTTCTTGCCGCAGATGGTTCCAATGATGTCCATGGTGTTTGGGGCTATCTCTTTCAAATGGTTGTGAGAAATGTCCCAGTCAAATCCTGACAGTGATGTGGCATCTCTGTACCTCAAAAGATTTGCGGAACCAGGACTACACAAAACTTTGCTCTCGCCTTCAACAATGTCAGAAAATGACTTTTTGACACAGTTCAGGGCAGTTGGAATAGTCAGCAGGTGATTGACTGCAGTCTTGAATTGTCTCATCACCAAGGCCCGGACAACTTTACACACGGTCCCAGACAGGAATGAACTACGACTTCTGCTTTTGTAACCAATCCGCACCTGAAAAAAGAACAAATTATAAATATGTTTAATTTTGTTTATTGTTATTATCACCAATTTGTGAGCAAGGGCTTTAAATAGCGATTATAAATATGATACATGTCTCCCACCATCTCTAGTACCCACGCCTTCTAACATAACTTTTTTGTTATATGATATTATTAGAATCTATTTGTGTGACATAGAGATTATTGTAGTATCCATAAATGTAAATGTCACACTTGCATAACTTCATATTTTCAATACAAGATGCCAGACTAAGAGGGACAAATTTAGGGACAGTGATTTTCCGCGATCGCAGAAAACGGACGGAAAACACGGAAACGGCCATTGGAAACGGAAAAGATGTTTTCAAACGGAAAAATGCGAAAAACGCAATTTGAATATATTACAACATGGAAATTTCAATAAAATCACAAAAAAACAGTCGACAATAGCATTGGTAATGATATGGTTTACATTCAGACAAGTTTCAGAGCGAAATGACTTACAATTACGACTTTTGGTAACCCTGTGTTTCGGTGCCGGTTCCGGTTTCAAAGGTTGTACCAAATACTTTTTTTTCATGCCAATATATATGTGAACGAAATTTTGCATTTTTGGCGTGTACAATCTTTATAGCAAAACGGAATTTCCATTTTTTCTTTACTTTGGAACAGAATTCATGATTTTCCCAAACGGAAAAGGCAATTTTTTGAAACGGAAAATCACTGTCCCTAGAAATTCTCACATGTGTCATATTTTTATCCTCATGAATACCTTTTCAAACAAAAATCTTGTGCACATCAAAAGTACATATACACAACACATACAATATACTAGATACAATAATGTAACCCAAACACAGGATAGGGATACAACGCGAGTCTATCCGTTTGTGTAGAGGAACCCCTGAGTGAATCAATCAGGGCGGTTTGCAGGTGCATTTTCAGAGACTAGAACTTCCAAACTGGGTTTATTCTCAACACAAACCTTTCTCCGCTATTCCGAAACTTACTATGTATTACAATACTCTGTATTAAACTAATATAACCTGTTACAAAAATTCGAAGTGACGAGTGGCGTATACATTGAGCGCCATTTCTGTTGACCTGTGACGTACTTCGGTTTGAAGAGCGGATTCACCGAGTCGACCAATCAGAGGGCGCTGCGTTTGCCGATCGCTATGCGCATTGGGAATGTGTACGTCACAGGTCAACAGAAATGGCGCTCAATGTATACGCCGCTCGTCACTTCGAATTTTTGTAACAGGTTATATTAGTTTAATACAGAGTATTGTGATACATAGTAAGTTCCGGGATAGCGGAGAAAGGTTCGTGTTGAGAATAAACCCAGTTTGGAAGTTCTAGTCTCTGAAAACGCACCAGCAAACCGCCCTGAGTGATTCACTCAAGGGTTCCTCCACACAAAAGGATAGACTTGCGTGCTAACCCTATCCTGTGTTTGGGTTACATTATTGTATCTAACAATATACCAATTTTGTCATTTATTTATTAATTTATTTTTATTTTTATATTAATTAGTTTTATTCATTTTATTTAGTCAGATCAGTTATTAATTTATTTATGGTATTATTTGGGGGAGAGGAATGTCTTGAACTAAAAAACTGCAATTATCATTTTTTTAAACAAAATTTAAAACCAACACCAGTTCGATATACTGGGTATTTTGTTTGAAATGCATCAATATGTACGGTACTCAGGATTCTCCCCAGGATGAAATTGAAACAGGGGGAGGGGAGGGGGGAGAGAAGGAAGGAGAAACTAGGGGGGTCCGGGGGGCGTGTTTTTTACCGCACCACAAATTAATACGTAAAATCGCCACCACACCATAGACGGTATTTGGGGTTCTTGCATATTATAAGATAGCCGAGTCGGTGTACATTTAGTGTTGGGTTCGGGACAGGTTGACTGTTTGTACTTGTGCGTGGTCTGCAGTGCATGCGTGGTACGGTAAAAATACACGCGTTGGGGGTCCTGGTCCAATTGGAATTCTTGACGATCGATTCCCACGCTGTCAAACTTTTATTGTGGTGGAATTTAATCGGGGCGGAGGTAATTTAAACGGGGCGCAACGATTGAAACAGGGGGGAGTTTCTCCAAACGGGGCGCGCGCGCCCCGTTTGCGCAACGTAGGGAGAAGCCTGGTACTCACTGTAACCGAACTGGTGGAGTTGTCAGCAGGCGATGTTTTCCTGGGGGTCTCGATCTTTAGATTGGTGAATAACCCCTTTCGATGGCGGAATCTCCCAGTGTCTTCATGGTGACGAGAGACTCCTCTCTTGGGAGTAGGTGTGAAGCCCGTCTTCACAGGTGTCAAGACATTTCTGCCTCTTTTTTTTCCTCTTGATGGTGACAACTGGATGGCCTTATTCTCTCTTCGTTCGTCATAATAATGATTGTCAAATAAACCGCCTACTCCCCGAGTCCTAAGGCAATTTAATGTATCAGTGGCTTTGTTCCTTGCAGTCACATGCTGCTTAAGTAGAGCGTAACACCTTTTACAAATAAAAAGAAAAAGGTCCAAAGATTGACAGTCCGACCTGCCCAACTCTGGCAACTGTACCTGAAGTGCACTCAAAAGCGATTCTCTATCAGTGTTAAATATCAGAGCAATTTCATGCAGAATATCCACCTGGTCGTGAGTCTTCAAAATATTGCGCCTACTTTCCTGTTTCAAGTTACTTAAATTGAATTTATAACTGCAAATAGTGCATGCTTCTGATAAGGCATTATTCATTTTAAAACTGATTACCACCGCCTCATCGTAACGGCCGCTAGAGGGCCTACTCACTAGAGTTATAGACTGGTACCCGGTCCCACTTCTCGGCTTAGGGTTAGGATCGAGTAATCGTGTAATCGAGCAATCGAGTAATTTAGGTGGGAGCGAGTACTAGTCTACCATAGTTAGAGGGAGCCGTATGGAAAATAACGACTGTATTATCAAGAATAATACTTTATAATAATAGGTATCACTATCATAAGGAATAATAGGTATTATTAGCTCTTCGTATTATACAGGTTAGATTACCACCATAATAAATATATGCCTGGGGCGGTGAATATGCGCCGACCCCCTTGCAGTGACGTCACACGTCACACTTTACCAAGCTACCAACATGGCAGCGCCCATGATGTGTTAGTACATAAACGTGTAAAAGTGTAAACTCGAAAGTCTAGTAATTCTGAAACTGAAAAGCCGGCGATCGATAGGCCTACAAAATCTCAAGTTTTATGCCGAGGTTTCAGGTACTACTACTAGTCTATAATACTACTACTACTAGTACTAGGCCTAGTTCAGTTGAACTTGAAGTAGTTCACTCACTGCCTCAGTAGTAGACCGAATAATTCTGTCCCATATAACCTTTTTTATATTTTGGTGAGGGTTATATTGGGCTAATATAACCCTCACCAAAATAAAATAAAAAGTTTATATGGGACAGAATTATTCGGTCTACCTCAGTAGTAGATTGGGCCCAAGGTCCAGGATAGAGAACATGGGTCCCAATAAAACCAATGTGCCTAACCCTAACCCTAATTCTAACCCTGGCCCTAACGGCCCAAGGATAGAGAACATGGGTCCCAATAAAACCAATGTGCCTAACCCTAACCCTAATTCTAACCCTAATCCTAACCCTAACCCTAACCAGAACCCTAACCTATTATATTGATATAATATTATATTTTTATTGATGCAGGGTTCTCCCCAGGATGAAATTCAAACAGAGGGGAGGGGAGGAGTAGGGGGAGGGGGTAGCCCGACCAGGCTGTGCGACGGATTGTCTATACAGCCTGACACCCTTCCATACAAAAAACCTATCACCTCTGCAGATCTAGATGAATAACTCTGTATATCTCAAATAAAACTATTCCATTACCACCTTTGACTTGCCTTGTTTAAAATATGAACGTTAACTCACAGTTGTCCTGCTTCTAAACTAGAATGTATCTCTTAATTCACTGTATCTCTTAATTCACT